TATGTGTTTGCAGTACACAAGCCACGGTTAAGACAGCTGACTCCATTGTGATGTGACCCTGTCTCTCTCTATCTCTCTCTCTCTCGCTCTCTCGCGCTCTCTCGCTCTCTCTCTCTCTCTCTCTCGCTCTCTCTCTCTCTCTCACTCTCGCTCTCTCGCGCTTGCTCTCTCTCTCTCTCTTTGATAAAGAATATCTCTTTGGTTTTGAGACTTTAGTCTTTGCAACTTCAGGGATCTTATCTATGCACAATCAGCTTGTAACACTCCAAAGAGAAAGAAAAAATTTAAATCGCATCATATGACCCCTTTAACCGTGGCTTGTGTACTGCAAACACATACCAGCTTCATCACTGTGTCTGTCACGCGACTCTGTTGCCCTTTCGGGCTTGAACTGATGGTAAAACTAACTGTCTTGATGTTTACTTTGAAAGCTGACGCTCGCGATTATGGTAAGGGGCGTTACATTTCCGACTCGTGCTTGTGGTGTTCGGCCAATCACAATGCACTGGGTCAGCTGGCCAATCAGAGCAGACTGCGCTTGTCAAAGGAGGGGGCTTTGTTGAAAACGACGTGTTTGAGAGAGGCGGGGCATAGAGGACCTACAATAATGTACAGTATTTGAAAAATAATGTGTTTTTTGAACATTAAAGCATGTCAACATATTCTGTTACACCAAATACACAAAATAATGATCTTTAAAATAGCATCATATGACCCCTTTAAATATCAGCGTTCTATTCTTTTTACAACACCTAATGTAAAGCTTCCATATACATTCATCATAAAATTCTCATGTTGATGATAATGTCTGTTATTTTCCAACTACTGATAGTCTAGTATTGTTATTGATAACTATTGATTTTAAAATGCAAGTTAAAAATTGTATTCCACATCTTGTCATTTTATTAGTCGATCATGATTGCCAATTACGACGGACTTTTATTTTGAAATTATTTTCCGGAAGCAAGTAGAAAGATCTCGTAGGTTTCCTCGATGTCCTTCCTGCGCTGGATCTCTGATGCAACCGTGTTTGTTATGGTGAAGGATCACTGGATTCTGCGTCCTTAAATGAGTGTTTTTGATCTGTTTCGTGGGTTTTTCGGGGTTCCCGGTGGTCATTATCGTGGTGATGGCCGCAGGTGAGGCTGTCTAACATTTTTAAGTGTAAATGTCCCCTGACAGCAGCAGCTGTTAGACTAAATAACACTTTAATATAAGAGTTGATCTTGTGTAATTGACAAGATACACTGTATAGGTTATAATATTGTGTATAGTGTTATAAACTTAAATGCTTCAAAATATTTCTCTTCATTTTGTTCTTGTGGAGGTTTCTCTATTGGTGCCAATGAAAGTAAATGCTTACTGAATGTGTTTTTATAACCATATAAAGTTTTATAGAGTATTGTGATATTTTAAAGAATTTGTAATTGCCAGTACAGTTCTGAATGATTTGATAATGCATTCATTGGTGTAGTTTTATTCACCAGAATCATTTACAGATTGCTATTATATGTGAAGCCATATGGAGCAGTACATGCTCTCTTTCGGTTTTACTTCGACACATCAGGGCATAAATAACAGTGGGCTTCATATTTTGATTATTATTCTAGAATGTGAAAAATGGCAGTAATGAAGAATGAGAAATCGAACCTCAGAATACAGTTTTATTTTTTTTAAATTAACCCGTTTTAATTAGTTCTAAAAATAAATGTAGCCCTAGTTGGTCTAAAGTGTATTTATTTTTCCTGATAAATACAATACACTGACATTGTGTAGTTCTGAGCAGTTTGCTAATTTAAATGTGTTTTGATCAGGGACCCCTTCTTTGATGGTATGATTCATGAAGATGATGAAGACGAGGACGATGACAATGGATTTCACCACGATGACTTTAATAGGCCCCGTAGGGACCCGTTTGATGATGCCTTTAGATTTGGTTTCAGTTTTGGGCCTGGTGGGATGCGCTTCGAGGAACCTGAGCTGTTCGGCCAGATCTTCAGGGACATGGAGGAGATCTTTGCCGGTCTAGGCCGCTTTGATGAGCGCCATGGCTTTGGACACAGAGGTACGTTTGTATGCTCTGTTCCACAAGTTGCAATTATTTATTTATTTTTAACTTAACTTGTTCAAAGTATTTCTTCAACTTCCAAGATTGTTCTTTATCTTAATTTAGATAATGTAAGCTTATTAGATGCATTTTAAGTATATGTTACTATCTCCTCCTGCTCTTCTCCTTCCCAACAGGTGCCCCATCAGTAGAAGCTCCGCCTCCTCAGGAAGGTGCAGAGAAAGGCAGGGGTCAGGCAGGAAGTAGTAACCCGATTAGAGATTTCATGTTGAAGTCTCCTGACAGTTCACCCTACACACCACCCCTCCCTCCCCCCTCTGGGGCACCAAAGGACAGGGATTCTTCTTCTCCACAGGATCCCAGCAGCCGCTTTCCTCAGTGGAGACCCTTCTCAAAGGTAAACCAATTCACAGATTCAGTGCTTTAGAGTCTTGCCATGCTGGGTCCTCACCTGATTGTCTTTATTTTATTTTTAGTTTCATGATTTTTGGAAAGATGGCCTATTAAGACCAAAAGAGGGAGAGAAAAAAGAGGATGGAGGTAATGCATTTAGCTTTTTTTTCTCTATGATTTAAATGTATGTACAGACTAGGGGTGGAACGATACATGTATTCGTACCGAACCGTCACGGTACGGACATCTCGGTTCGGTGCATGAGGCCTTACAATCGAATACAGGCAATTCTTGATAACCGGTGTTGTGCCGAATTCTGCACCCCTGCCAGGTTATGCACCCCCCCCGTTGAAGTCGCTACCTGATTGCCTAATCCCAAACCCCACCCCTAATCCTAACCCCTCCCCCACACCTACTCCTAAACCTACGAATACTAGGGGATGCATAATCTGGCAGGGTGCAAATATCGGCACTACACCAGCCGCCAGCAGAAGAACAGCGAATGCTGTGAGTTGCGCACTTGAAAACAAAGCGCACTAGACTGCGACCATGTGCTGACTCTGAATGCATCTCACAGACTGACAAAGGAGTATACTTTAAAGGCTTGTGCACTCAACTGTTTGCGAAATGGAGCTTTGTGCTTGTGTATCCTACCTCTCTCATTTGGCACAAATCCAAATATTCCATAATATTTCCATATTTGCGGTGTAACGTATCTGAATCCTGAGTAGGCTGAATAGGCTTTGTATTTCAGTCGTGTTCCAACGGTGACACAGAGGCGGGCGC